AGGCCATTTTTGTAAACAAATACACTCCATATTTCCTTGAATCGGTGACAATTTCCGATGTGGCTCGTACAAGGAATCAAAAATCCACTGTTAGGGCGGGAGGAGGGGTGGTCGGGGGAAGGAGGGGACTGACATGGAGGTGAACTTCTGTATACTGGATATCCTTACAACAATTTTAATCAAATGTCTAGCGAAATCCTGTATTGCTTTACCTTTGCTTTACTTCGATCAATGATTGCTTGAGTAACTTGGCGCTTCCCCCTCAATCTGGAGCATCTAGAAGCGGTCACTAACCTCACTTGGTTTTGTCTCTGTGCTTTGGAGTTGGCAATTGTGTAGTTTTTTATGACGGTGACGGTGACGAGTTCCATTGAGACCTTTTTATCCGTTAATGGGTAAACTGTGGTTCATATATGATTTAAGTGCTGCAAAATGCATATTCTATTTTGACTGAGGAAATTTCAATCACTTTTGTGAATGAAATGGGTTTTTTGTTGGTCGTCCCTTCTAATTTTTTAAAAACTGTGACGATGAAAAGGAATAATCGATGAAAATTGAGGAAGAGTGTAGAATATGTCTAAGAAAGCAACATTCAAGGCACCTCTCTCTTCTATTTTGACATGAACGACCAATCGTAATGAAAAAAAAACTAGTACGCCACTGCGTTTTTGCGACGTAAAGTGGATTTTGAACATTTAAACAAGTAGTCATGTTTTAACATCGGAAAACATAAATTGACTTCTTCGGCTGACTTTTTGGCCTCTTTGTAACTAGGAGCAATCGTGGTATCTTTGGTCTAAAGTAAGTGTGAGTAAGCTCCGTAAATAGTTAACGTGCTCTTGTTATTTTTATCTCTTTTCTAAACGTAGAATACATAAAGAAACTCGAAGAGGAAATGGAGGAACGTAGAAGTAAGTTTGCATTGTCCATCGGTAAGATATTTATTTTCTTACCTACAACCATAGCATTCCCGACCATCCTCTGCAAATTCCAAATCCTTGCGGTTATGTATTTATTACGGTCATTTTTGTAAACAAATACACTCCATATTTCCTTGAATCGGTGACAATTTCCGATGTGGCTTGTACAAGGAATCAAAAGTCCACTGTTAGGGCGGGGGGAGGGGTGGTCGGGGGAAGGAGGGGACTGACATGGAGGTGAACTTCTGTATACTGGATATACGTACAACACTTTTAATTAAATGGCTAACAATATCCTGTATTGCTTTGTCTTTGCTTGACTTCGATGAATGATTGCTTCAGAAAATTCGCGCTCACCTCTCAATCTGGTGTATGCAGAATTCGTCCCTGACCTTACTTCGTTTTCTCTCTGTACTTTTGAGTTACCAGTCGTAGAGTGGTTTATGTCGGTGGCGGTGACGAGTTCTATTGAGACCTTTTTTAGTCGTTAATGGGTAGACTGGAGTTTATATATGATTTCAGTGCTGCAAAATGTATATTCTAATTTGACTGAGGAAATTTCAATCACGTTTGTGAATGAAATGGGATTTTGGTTGGTCCTCTCTTCTAATTTTTTAAAAAGTGTGATGATAAAAAAGATATAATCGATGAAAATGGAGGAAGAGTGTAGAACATGTCTAATAAAGAAACATTCGAGCCACATCTATCCTCTATTTTGATATGAACGACTAATCGTATTGAAAAAGAAAATTATGCCACCGCGTTGCTGCGACGTAGAATGGGTTGTCCACATTTAAACAAGTAGTGATGTTTTACCATCGGAAAACACAAAGTGAATTCCTCGGCTCGCTTAATGGCCTTTTTGTAACCAGGACTAATCCCGGTATCTTTGGTCTAACGTAAGTGCGAGTAAACTCCGTAAATAATTCACATGCTATTATTATTTTTATCTTTTTTCTAAACGTAAATTACTTAGAGAAACTCGAAGAGGAAAACGAAGAATTTAGAAGGAGGTTGGCGTTGTTCATCGGTAAGATATTTAGTTTCTTACCTTCAACCATATGATTCCCGGCCATGCTCTGCAAATTCCAAATCCTTGCGGTTATGTATTTATTACGGCCATTTTTGTAAACAAATACACTGCATATTTCCTTGAATTGGTGACAATTTCCGCTGAGAAGACTAGCATGGTGGGGATTTTATGAACACTGGATATTCCTACAACAATTTTTCATTGTTTGTCGAAGGAAATCCTGTAATTTTTTGCTTTTGCTTTACTTCAACAATGATTGCTTCAGAATACTCGCCCCTATTTCTCAGCTAGGTGTATGCAAATCTGTTTTCTTTCTGCACTTTCGAGTTAGCTCATTCTAATAATTTACTGGATGTCTTTTCTGCAGAGGCAAAATAAAGGTTGACTTCAATGACCTATGAGGAGGTCTTCCATTTACATTTACAAATCATGATGTAAATCATCTTGAAGCTTCATCCTTGTAGTTTAATTCCTCTAGATCTTTATCTTGGCCCAACATAGCAGCATCATCATCCAGGGTTCCCTCAGATCCTCAGCAATTCAGTGTTCATTTACGTGTCTTGTTTCTCCTTTTTCTTGACACTTTTTTTTCCTTTTTTTTCTTTTTTTTTTTTTTTTGCGGCGATGGAATCCTAAGATTTAGTTGAGTTTCATCCATACATTAATATTTCTACTTACTAAAATATATCATCTTTACAAGTTACCTACACAAACATGCCGTCAGCTCTTCGACAACAGCATAATGGATAACTAAAGATATATTTCACCAGGAAAATCGAGTCCCCTAGAAACAGAAGTAAAAATGCTAGGCTGTTATCAACTATGCAAAATGGCAATAGAGCTGAATGGGATTGTACCATGCTGTTGTACTCTATTCTTTTTTCAGATTGTGTCCGCGGTCTCAATTCAATGACTCGATCGAATATAGATGACCCAAGGAAATTTGGAAATGAGGAATTTGCCCATATGCCACGAAGCCACCCAAAACAAGAGGTTAAAGAGAAGGAAAAGGAACCTCAAGTAAAAGTAAAAGAACTTCTCGAGAAAGACGAGATACTTCTGGTAGAGGAACTTCAAAAGACAGTATTGTAAAAAGCTGGGAGATGAACCTCTTACAACAATCTGGGTACTTTACACAGTGGCCTGGGCGAAAGAGATCAAGCAAAAGAGTATACTATAAGCGTGCATTGGAGATTCGTCTGAAGAAGCTGGGTCCTGATCATGTTAATGTTGCAGACTCTTACAACAATCTGGGTAGTTTACACAGTGACCTGGGCGAAACAGATCAAGCAAAAGACTACTATAAGCGTGCACTGGAGATTCGTCTGAAGAAGCTGGGTCCTGATCATGTTGATGTTGCAGCCTCTTACAAGAAGCTAGGTAATTTGCACAGTGATCTGGACGAACTCCAAGAGGCCAAGCATTGTCTTGATCGTGCACTGGTAATTTTTATTTCGAAATACGGTCAAGATCATGTTAGGGTACGAGAGGTCAGGAGGAACTTATCTCGGCTACAACAGAAAGGGAAGTGCGTCGTGAATGAAGGGTTAAGCTGCTTTGAAAAGAAGAAAAGATGGACGTGTAGATAGTCAAGAAACTGGGCTAATTTATAAACGGTGAAGGCCTTTAATTCTGTTTAGACGTTGCTGTCCCTTTGCTGGAGAAGTTTCGCCAGAATCTAGACGGCTTTGATATTTTCGTTATATTTGATATCATTTGAGTATCTTCTATCCTGATCTGCAAACTCTGAGATCGGACACAGTTTAAAGACGTTTCCTTGCTTGCAGTCCCACGTTCCAGGACAAAATCGTTTATGAGTCGCCATTTAGTGCTGCTTCTTCTGAATTATGACTTCTGATTGATTGGCTTGTGTACATATCACTCTCTTCTTATCAGCAACGTATATTTATAAAGTAAAAGATAGCCTGGTGGTTTGNTCTCGGTTTTTAGTTTATGTACACCTTTGGTTTAGATCCGTTGGTGAGGTTGCCGTGTACGTCGTTCCCTCCGGTTTGATGACTCTGTTTATGACGTAGACAAGTCACATGGACTTTTGTTCGATCATAAAACAGTAAACGTATGTGTTTTCTGAAGCTTTCGATTACAATGTTCTTCTTTACCTTTTTCATTTTCAATTGTGAACATCTGTGAAAAAAGGAAAAACTCACAGCTTTGAAAATGGCTTTTTGTCGCGGAAAGTAAAATGGATAAAGCAAAGACGCACAACACACACAAAGAATAAAGCATATTTTAGCATGAATTTGCAACTCTACATCACACTTATAGGTCGTGGCAGTACAGACCCTGCAGCGTTCGGTCCATCCAAACCCAATGAGGGCCAATATGCCCCAAGACAGTTTGAGCAAGTGAGGTTAATAGTAAATGATTTATTAGAGGGCAGTCTGACCATAATTTGCCGATTTTCGAGAACAAAAATACACGGTGTTCAGGCGGATTGCAATTCGAAAAAAAATTGATCCTTTATTTAAGGAAAACCGACGGAAAAAGTTTAAAACAAACACGGAGGAAAAGCCAGTAGAAAAAAACCTCGTGGTAACTCACTGAACGGCGCATGCGTGGACGCGATTACATAATGATACGTCGGAACACACGGCCTACGACCGTTTCCGCGAAAACGGTCCGTATGGCAAAATCCCAACCGAGTAAAAACTAATCACAGCACTCGGATTTACCTCAAGTCTACTTGGCCGTATGAAACTGTCAAAGTGACCCTAGAGGGGATCCATAGATATATTATGCAGAATACAATTGTTTATTTCATGCGGTCAAGTCTAAGGTTAAAAGTTAAACGTGATATTTAATTCTTATACCCCCTTAACGATGAATAAGTTCTTAAGAGGGAATAGTCGGTAGTTCAAATTTTGGTAATTGCTTATCCCACCTACATGTCCGGCACAAAATTAGCCGTCATCCCTACAACAATAGCTTCGCCATCATTGATAAGGTACATGCCATCGGTGCCACGAGGCAGTTTTCATGAAGCAGAATACAAATTAACATTTGAATCAGTGTCTGAATGATTAAGATATCGTATTTCGATGAATTGTTTTGCAAACTTTGGTAAAAAGCAGAAAACATTTTTCAAAGCACTTTGAATGGATAATTAATGGCTAGTGTTTCGAGACAAGGGCTACCTGAATTTAAACTGACAAGAACGTCTTGGGCAGAGATTCGATGGCCCGAAAATGTAGGCAGCGTAAATCATAGATCACGAATTATGGATGAACCCAAGAGGAACATACATGGTTTAAATGGAGGCTTGTTTTAAACAATAACAAGGCGACACCACAACATCGGGAGCTGCATTCCCTACACTTTGCGAAATGTCATGAGCTACTTAAACGTGCACCTGCTCTTTTATACAGAGTAGATGCAGCAGACGGGGCCTTTTGTGTTAATTGTCCTTCTCTAAGAAGACTAGAATGTCTAACCCTTTGCAGATGTCATAGCAAAAGTAGCGCATGCTCCTGAATTATATCAAGACCCTGAGTGTTAGTCTGCCCTGGGGCTTTAACGAGACCTCTAACCTTAGACCAAGGAGCTAAAGTCGCCCAGGAACCATCAAACTCGCCAAATTGAGAAGCACGCTATTTTTTTTTTTTACTAGGTATGAACAGACTATCCTGCAATTGTCCTGCTCGTGATGTTGATAATTTACAGAGTCGCGTACTAAGAAATGTTATGTTTACAATAATGAGTAGTGGAAATATGATAATTTTGTTGTCTTTATTTGAAAATGATGTGGTGTTCCAAAGAGTTTTGGACGATTGTAGTTTGCTGGTGCATGAGGCTAAAAATCAAGGAGGTAACAATGTACTAGAAGGAACGAGAATGGCGATCATGACGAATGATTTAAATGAACATATCTTTCAAGGCAAGTAATGTAGCGGCCGAGTTCTGATTTTGGACGCTTGCGGCCAATTTTCTTATTTTGGAAACTGGTGTATGATTTTTTTTTCAAAATTCTTTT